TCTAGCATTTTATAATTTCAGCTGTCAGTAAAAGCAGCTTCATTTTTTAATGGGGAAAGCCATATCCTATGTGTGAGCATTATTTAAATTAAAGACCATTAAGAAACGCAGCGAATTTCATTACTGTAGTTCTGCAACTCCTTTGCAGAGATCAATTGAGATCTAAGCCCCAGGAAAGCCAGGGGATCCCAAATTTCACTAAAAGTTAATTTTAAAGCAGGCCTCATCTTCCACCTTTACTTGAATTATTAGAATTTAACTTGCAGAGGAGCTAGCGCTCCATCTCAAAAAATGACAAATACTTGATATTCATATCTTTCCAAGCTCAACAGCAGCAACTCAGCAGAATATGGTAATGTAGCCCAATAATCCATGTTTTATTTTTTCCATCTGTTAAAGGCAGGATATGAAATACTGATATTTTGTCATAATGTTCTTCCTTCGTTCCTTCTTACACATTTACAACCAGGTTGAAGGATCATTTTGCAGTTTAACTGCATGACACAGATATACAAGTTTCCTAGATATACTAGGCTTCCTGCACAGCTCTGAGCAAACCAAACTGCACCTGCGAAACAGGGAGATTATTCTCATCCTTTGCAGTGATGTTAGCGGCGATACAGGAGCTTGTTACATGCTGTCAGGTCTTTCCAACTTTGTAGAATTGCAATGGTCACCACCCTTTCCACCTCACTTCAGACATCAAACAGGCATAATCTGCATGTGGTACCCAGACAGGCAATGCAAAGAAAAAGATCTTTTAGGGAGACTCCGCTTGGGCCTTCTGTAAGCATGTTTCTTATTACAATCTATGGAAGGACCTGGGGGAATTACACACCTGCATTAAACGCCCTTCAATAACGTACACGAGTGGGGATCGTTTCCCAAATATTCCCAAGTACTGTAATTCACAACCTACAGCAAACATTGACCCAAACTGTTCTGGGGGACCTAAGCAGATCCAAAAAGGGAAGGAGCACAATTTGAACCAGCAATGGCACTTTCAATACTATTCACCCTTCCCTCTCACAAACACATCACTGTGAGCATTACAACAATAAATCCCAAGAGGCACTTTTCTAAATAAACAGCCATCAAAAACTAAGTACTAACATACACATACAGTGTATGTAGACTTCAGTGGTTAATTAGAAGATGTATCCATACAACAATGTTATGGGATTTATAACAAGAAGCACAAACTCTAGATGCAACAGTGCTTAACTACCTGAAAGGGTAATTTCCAGAAATTCACAAGTAATTTCAATGCAGTAATTTCCTAGGAGCTGCTACTTCTTGTTCCTCACCACGATTTCTGAAGTGTGTGCACGACTAATTTGGCAAGCATACTAATCATGGACTCTCTTAAATTGCAACTTCAATTGCAAAATTTTGTTAGTCCACCTACCTCTTTTCCCACTCTGTAACAGACACTTCCTCTTTTATACATATTATGCATAAAAGAACTGCTGAATTTTAATCACCATGTTAGTAACTGAATTCTAATTACAAGTTTAACATCTCTAGAAAAAAGGCTCTAAAGCTGTCTAGCACATTTTGGGCTTGTATCAGTAGCAATTCTGCAGGTTTATGTAATCTTGAGCTGATTTTATCCGCCACGACAAAAGCAAGCATAGATAAGGTGACCGGGGACACTAAAGTATGAGAATACCATTGCTGTAAAGCAAGAACAAAGAATATTTTGCGTCTTCTTCAGAAGTCTAGCCATTCTGCACAGCTAAGCTTGTGCCTAAGGGCCTGTTAAAATGGCCTCTCCTCTCACCAGTGAATCTTACCTTTCCCTCCTAAAGTTAGTGAAGCTCCAACAGATATCACAGAAAGGATTTCATCATAGTTCAGAGCATACATTTTTCTTAAATCTTTTTACAACCACTGGCAAGTTGACCATCTTCATCACGTACCCCTAAGGCATGGTGCTTAGGAACGGTAATAGGTGTCCATCACCACACAGCACTCCAGAACAGCATTTTCCAACATGCCTTTCACTAGATTTTCATTTCCTAACAGAGATTAGTTGTGGGGGAGGGGCGGAGGCGTGTTATTTGTTTGTTAATTTTATTTTTAAATAGTAACCCAATAGTGCAAATAGAAAAGCTACCTAACTGAGAAGGCATCACATTCTGAAGGTAAAGAGCTGCAACTGCTCAAGCCACATTGTGCAAAAAGCAGGCTGCTATCATACTTCACACCCAGAGGAGTTCTCCACTTAATTATCACAATCACAAAGTACAAAGCTCCAATCACTCGCATAGTAAATTTTGCCAGTCTTAAACCTCCGCAATTTTCATTATATCTTTGAAAAGTCCTACCAAAAGCCTTCCTGGCTAGGCAAAATATGACAAGCTGCCCTTCATTCTCAGAAAACCTGGACATTGCTCATCTTTTCTCTCTTTTTCTACAATTCCACATGGTATTTCAAAATCTTCTTTAGGGCAAAAGCAGTTTCAGCAACTGATTAGTAGTTTACAAGTAACAGGCATGGCAGCAGGTAACACAGATTAGCACTGAAATTGTAGATATGGGGCAAACAGCTACAGAGTTTTAGCTATTACTGACTCATTTAACTCCCCATACCTGTCGGTCACCTCCTGGCTGGCAGAAGTCCCTGACTTATCAGCAAAGCCGGGAGAACAGAATTTGAGTAACCCTCAGCCTTTTCATCTAGAAGTTCCATGGTCTCCCTCCAGCTGCTGCCTCAGGTCATTAGACTGTCAGTAGACTTCAGTGAAGTGACTGAGAACCACGCTAAGGTCCTGCACTCTCTCCCTCCCCTGCTACCTGATGGTAACATTTGTCAGAAGAGCAATAAACCCTTGAAGTGCTGCAGCTGTTTGCCAACAAGTGACTCAGCCCTCAGGTTACAGGTGAGGAAAACCAAGGGTTTGTAACAGTGTGTTTCAGCATACATCAGACCACGTTTAAACCTCTGTTGATTCTGGTACCTGCCTGGCACAGCCCCTTGGCAGGTGTGTAGCCCATCGAGGCTGCGTGGCCAGCACTGCTAAGGGAACACCTCCCACTGGCCTTGACTCTGCTAGGAAAAATTGGAAAACGTAGCCGTGCCAGTGACGCTACAAACAAATATAGCAAATTTTAGCTCACGTCCTCCACAGCTAATAAGAGCAATAACCCACAGTCATGTCACTGCTGGAATTGTATGAGTAAATTCAGTTTCAAACAAAATAAAGCACCAAGGTTGTTCTGGAACAGAGTAAAAAGCAATGGCAAAATTCCACAGCTGCCCACACTGTACAGCAAAATACATGATCAAAAATAGAGCATAATTATAAATAAACACCCTAACAGCAGCCTTTGAAACTACAAACCTTAATCACTGTGAGGGAGACAGCTGTTCTAAGTGAGACTGGGGTGGGGAATCTCTCATCTAAAGCCACAATTTTTTTCTCATACAAATGCTCATTCTAATACCAAAACTTCTGTGGTCAGAATTTTACAGATTATCATCCCTGCAAGAAGCTCTATGTTTCTTTCTGTATACAACAAAGCAGCCTCCACTCCTACTCTCCATCTAGGTAAAATGCAGATCATTTCAGTTTATCTCACTGTAGTTTTCAAAAGGCAGGAGGAAATGACTGAGAGCAGCACTAATCAGCAATCAAGAATGCGGGAATGTTGACCAACTGACTATCTACACAGCAAACAGCACATTCTCAGGACCAAGGCGAACTTGCCAAGACTTCAAGCACAGGCTTTTTCCTTGTAAAGATCTGGGGGAAAAAGTGTCGCTCGGTTGAGACCTTTCTCCTTGATAATACTCTTGGATGACTCCTCCTATTATTCCTGGACTTTCAGGCTACCTTAGACATAGGACAGAACCCAGCCTGCCCCGCCGAGCCAGGCCATTCAAAAAATTTATCCTTTTCTACACTATAATGCAGGAGGCAGTTGTAACCTCTATCAAGTTCTGCTTGTATCAATAACCACTTATATTTAATTTGATACAGAATCACAGAATGTTAGGGGTTGGAAGGGACCTCTGTCGGTCATCTAGTCCAATTCCCCTGCCGAAGCAGGGTCGCCTACAGCAGACTGCACAGGACCTTGTCCAGGTGGGTCTTGAATATCTCCAGAGAAGAAGACTCCACAATCTCCCTGGGCAGCCTGTTCCAGTGCTTCATCATGCTCAGAGTGAAGAAATTCTTCCTCATGTTCAGAAGCAACTTTCTGTGCTTCAGTTTGTGCCCATTGCCCCTTGTCCTGTCACTGGGCACCACTGAAAAGAGTCTGGCCCCATCTTTCTGACACCCACCCTTCAGATATTTATAAGCATTTGTAAGGTCCCCTCGCAGCCTTCTCTTCTTCAGGCTGAACAAGCCCAGCTCCCTCAGCCTTTCCTCATAGGAGAGATGTTCCAGTCCCCTCATCACCCTCATAGCCCCCCGCTGGACTCTCTCCAGTAGCTCCTCATCCTTCTTGAACTGGGGAGCCCAGAACTGGACACAGTACTCCAGATGGGGCCTCACTAAGGCAGAGTAGATGGGGAGGAGAACCTCCCTCGACCTACTGGCCACACTCTTCTTAATGCACCCCGGGAGACCATTGGCCTTCTTGGCAACCAGGGCGCATACACATACAGCTTAACTCCTTAGAAACTTCAGTTTGTGGATGGTTTATATCAGATGTCATGAAATATTTTAAAAAACTTTTTCACAGAGGTCTGTAACACACACCCCCTCATTCAAACAGTGCACACTATTAAGGCTGAATATGCTGAACAGCAATAAAAGAAACCCCAAATTGGGACCCTCTTCAAAGTGTTTTTCACAATTGGAGTGCAATGTGTAGGAATGGCTTCACTGCCACCTGGCTGCATTGAAAAAAAGTAACATAGCAAGGAGACAATCACGTATACTTTGATCTCTCTTTAAAAAAATCACAAAGAACACCAGCAGTCTGCAGCTATTTTACACAGAAAACAACCACATCCATCAGGGTGGTCAAGAGCAGGTTTCGCAACCATGAATCCAATGGGCACTCTCGGCAGCACAGAGAACTACGGGGGGATTCGGGGCAGTCTTTCACAGACGGGATGGCACAAGAGGGCAGCGAACGTCAAAATCGAAGGCGGTGAAATCGTGAAAGTATCCTGCTCCGAGTGAGACAGACAAGCAAGGCAGGTGGAGCACTGATTTCTCCTATCCACAGCCTCGACAAGGAGGGGAAGCAGCTGCTTTCCTTTCACAGGGCCATGACGTGACGGTTCCTGAAGGAGGATACGGGTTATTTGCAGCAGGCGGCAAGGCCGGAGCGCCGGTACGCCGCGCGGATAAACGGCCCTGCCTGCTGCGCGACAGCAGAACGCGGGGGGGAGCGCTCCGAGTGAGGCGTA